TTTGTATCTTGCATAGAGTAGGTCCCTGAAAAAGATGAGCCCATAAGAAGAATACTCTTCCCTCCATGCCATTGGCATTCTATGGAACGTGGATCGTCTGGAAATGATGCAGTGTAAGGGAACACCTGTATGAAAACACAGCCCTGTCCAGACCTGTGGATAATGCTCTTCTAGTTCAGAGAGAATTAAAGCCTCTACCAACTCCATGCCCTCGTACCCCATAATAATAAGCCATCTTTTCGAGAGCAATAAAAAAAAAAGGCCTGGGTATGTTCGGGCATCCTCACGGAGGTGCCCTGACCCCAATCAGCAGGATCCCAGGGAAAGAGGAAGGCCCAAGGATTCAGAGAATTTCAGGACAGACTTTGAGCTGAGGCTTCAGGAAGACACGTGGCAGCTGGTGTGAAGGGCAGGGTCATGCTCAGCGCATCAGGTGCTTTGGGGTCGTCTGGCGAAAGGGACAGGACATGCCATTTGTTCCTCGTCGTTTAAGCTTTATCAATAAGAACACAGAGACACAGAGAAATTAACTGACCTGTGCAAATTGCAAGCATTTTTGTGGGATTGCAACTTTGCTTAAATTGGAATTGAATGCCCCCTCTCTCTTTTCATTACTGACCTAACGAGTCATCTCAATTCTCATGGAAGCAAAACAAAACTGAAAACTGTGTATCAAAGACCTTGTCCCCATCACACCTCGATTCTCGAGTAGTGTGACTCTGATAGATACAATACTTTGGATAAAGAAAATGGCTCACGTCTTCAAGACTGAGAAAACCACACATCACAGGACAGGCGATAAACCAACCCTTGAATTAAGGGATGGCTTTTTAAAAATTGCTTTGGAAAATCTCAGGACAGCAGAAATAGGTGTAAAATCAGTCATGAATTCCACACCTTCAAAAAGACATTGTGAAGGCAAAAGTGGAAGCCTCCTGCCATCTCGGACATCCGGGGCCTGGGAAATCCCAGGTCTCTCAATGAAAAGCCACGCCCCCACGTCCATAGCAAATGTGTTCTATCATGTGCAGTTGTATTCTGTTGTTCTCGTTCAGAAATGTGATTGTGGGAATGAGAAACTTTGGAAAGAACGTGAGTCAATAACATAAGGGAAAAATTGAGCTTGTTTCTGGTGCTTATATGCCTCGGTCTTAGAAATGACCGGATGACATCAAGCTTCTTGATGAAAATTTCCCTCTTTCCAGTTCCTGTCTTCTCGTTCTTGCATGTATGAGTATGAACAGATGTGTGTGTGCACATGTGTGTGTTGGGAGGTAAGTAGATGGAAGTTGAGGGAGAAGGTAGATCCTACTTTTTACTCATAAGCTGATTTTTCTTATTTTTTGATACCTGCCTTTCTGCAAACAAACCTAGGAGTCACGTTCGATGTTCTAGGAAGATTTCTACCTCGTTTGGATACTTGTGCTTCAGTGCAGTAATTGTACGAACCTTTGACCACGATGCTAACAACCCCCGTTAGCAGGGAAGCGTGAGATAGGTTACCTTGCTTCTACTGAGCACTGAGTTCATTCTCGCATCCTGTTAATTAATCATCGATACTGCAACACGTCTCGGGAAAGGTATTAGAACCAGGTCACCCCTGAGACTTTAACCAAGCTTCCAAGCTTTCAGAGTTCTGCTGCCATTGCGTGGGGGGAGGGGCGCACTGCCAATCAGAAGTGAACTAATTTGCATCATGAACGTTTCTGTTCATCCACAGCGAGGTGTGAGAATTCTCTGGAAGTTGTGAAATCATGTTTCTGCGTTGCTTCAGTACCCCTGAAGGGCACAAAGGAATCTATCTCCAAGTGTGGAAAAGACACTAGCCATTCAACCCGGCTTGAGAGCCTTCAGTGTTTGATACAATTATTCTGTCAAACCCAGGCATATTGGTGCCCAAGCTCACAGAGGTGAAAGCATATTTGACTTTTACTCGGAGGGACATGAAGAGCTGCTGGGTGCGGCAGGGTTTTGAGCAGAGCGGTGACCTGACAGCATATTTTGGAAGGACGGTCCCTCTGAGAACAGAAGGAAGACCAGGGCAGAAGCAGGGTCCCCATCAGGAAGCTACTGTCACAACGCAGGGTAGAGTGTGAGGTGGCACTCAGAGACCGGAACTGACATCATGCTAATTTATATTATGCATACTTATATGTATTTCAAATATTCTTAGAGATACTTACGTAATGGATAGATAACTAAGCAGAAAGTATGGCTTAAAGGTAGCATCCGTAACGATTTTTCAGACAATTATGGGTTTTACTATTAAGTAAGCCAGATCATATTCTATTTATATAGGTTGACCTTCCCATAAAATGAATTACAGAATTCCAAGGGTATGGATGATTCTGAAAGACTCTGTGGCTTTAAATGAAGAAAAACACTTACTCACTGCTATAAAGTGAACCAAGCTTCCATCACCTGATGGGGTTGAAGTTGTGCTTGAGATAATTTTAGCCTGTTAGGCAGTTACAGAACAGCTTTATTTCACTCCTTTGGTCTTTCCAGGAGCATAATATGTGAGGACGTTTCTCTGCTCATTGCAAAACTTTGACATATTCTAAACAATTATGCAATAGGGAATAAAGTTACCATTATGCTATTCCCAAAATGCTGATGTCCTTCTTTAAAAAAGGTGTGACTAATCTATTTTAAATATTGGTGAGTGAAATATCAGGCAAATTAGGGTACACACTGCCTTATTCCACTTCTGCAAAAGTCCTTAAGTTAAAACCAATCTATAGTAAGAAAAGCATAGGAGTGACCGCCTGGGGGTTCAGTTGGGGGGGCATGAGGATACTTTTGGGGACGACAGACATGTTCATTAAATTGATTGCTATGATGGTTTGATAAGTGTATACATATGACAAAGTGGATCAAGTTTTACCACTTAAATGCGTGCATTCTATTATGTCAATTAAATCTTAACAAAGATGCGAAAAAATGAGTCGAGTTGCATTTACATAGTTTCTCTTTAACACAGGTATTGGGCATGTCTGCATCCCTGAAAGCCCAGCACACTTAAAGCTCCAAAGATTTTCAGAACGATCATCATTGTCCTGTTTGGGGCCAGCTGTACTTTTTCGTGAATTTTATGTTAGTTTTACAAAAACTTTCCGAGGCCATCAGCATGAAAATGAGGTCACATCGGTGGGAAACGAACTGTTTTAATGTGAAAGTTTTCAAGGGTCATAAAATGATGCTGTTAGAGAGGAAAGTGTGTTTCTTACAAAACAGTTCTGAAGTATAAAGCATTACAGCTTCTTAAAAATGCTGGGACACACAAAAGCCCAAACCCAAATCCTGCCAATGGGAAGTAATTTTTTTAAACATCAGGTGAATAACATGATGCGTGTGTGCGCGTGTGCCCATTATGCAGCCGAAGGCGCACAATGAAGAAGAAAGCGTGTGCACAGATTTAGATGTACTGAAAACCGGGACATCCTTCATCTAGCAACACTTCCACTCACTCTTTATCAATGATTTCCCCCTTAGTAGCCCTCCCGCGTGACTTAGTACCGCATTGTGGGTGAAATGCATCCATACCGTGTGTGTGACTGTTGCACACCGTCAATTTACACAGTGTTGCATGTCACATATATTTTAATTAAAAATACTAAATTGTTTCTAAATCTAAAACTCATTGGAATGTAATTTAAAGTAAGTTGACATCAGCTGCACATTTGGCCTCTGCATCTGTACGCAGATATTCTCTTAGCAAAACTGACTCAAATAACCCAAGTTCGCGATGCTTAATTCAGAACGCCAGAGGCCACATAACACGTTAGAAATAGTGCGTGTATGAAAATTCAAAACAAAACTATTCATATAACGGCCTGACACTTGCCTCATAATTGTACTTAAAGAAACATCCCTTTCCTTGCTTGTAATATCTGTATAACACAATTTCACTTTGAGGGTATAATAAGCTCTTCTTAACAGATTGCCTAAAGACATCAATGTATTTATCTAAGCTCTTATCTATTATCAAGGCGTAGAACTGATGTTGTTTCCACCTTTAAATTGACATTTAAGGTTTGCTGGTTTGCTTTACCTGCAATGCATTTGCGATTTTGGAATTGTTATGCCTCCCTTCCCTTGTAGATCTTCCCAGACAATACCGGATATTTTGTCTGAGACACAAATAAACCAAGTCATCTTGGCACATGCACACATGGATGGGCACCGTCCTTTTCTGAAAGTCACGTGTAGCTGACATCACCTGCTGTGTAGCAGGGAACAAAGGTGAAGTCCGTGACATTTAAACATGACTCACAGGCCTGGGTGACTTTGGAGACGAATTCTTGCTCCACAGCTCAACTAGTGTCCCTCATTTTCATGGGAATTTATCACCAAAGGTCAGGAGATACTTCCATCTAGTTTGCAGGCCACCAATGAATTGCTAGGTTTATATTTCAGAGGCAATGAATACAAAGTCAGACAGTCAGGAGTGACATCCGCCAAAGAGGTTTCTGAATAAATTGCCTTTATCTTCTGTAACAGAAAATAAGGAGATTTTACTTCTCCTGACTTCTTAGGCCTCTGCTTTGCTTGACCTGCCTTTGGAGATGCCGCCCTTCCACACCAGCCCTGTCAGGAGGGAGCGACGGACCGCGGGCCTCTCCCGGGCGATGGGGTCACAGCTCTCTGCTCTGCGATCCGGGCCTGCCCTTTATCTCGAGGACGTTGACAGTGGTCATGCAGTTACCTTTGCTTGCCCAGCGGAGCGAGCAGAGGGGCCGTGTTATCCAGGCTGCGGAACCTCGTTTGGTTCCCACGCTCTGGTCACTGCAGACGCATTGTCTCTGAGCGTAGTAGCTGTAGAACATTCCACGGACTCTGACACCTTGACAAAGAGATGCGTCGCCTCCCCTGCCCTTGCCTGGGGGCCAGTCGGCACCCCCTTCTAGCAGAGGGGACCCTGGAAGTGTCTCCGATCGGGGGGTGAGGCCAAGCTAGAGAACGCGGTCATTTCCTCTTGACTCGCACCCCTTCCGCAGCGTCCGGTCCCGGTCCAAGGCATCCGACTACCCGAAGCCTTCTCCTCGGCAAGGCCCGGAGACACCGAGTAATGACAGGCGCACGGCCAGCTCCACCGAGCGGACTCCGGCGCCAGCTGCCGGTACCCAGCGCCTGGAGGAGGGGCCCTCGGAAGGGGCCACGCTGCCCCCGTGGCCGCCCCTGAGCCCCGGGCCTCCCGAGGCAGACACGGCCACCGCTGCGCCCTCCTGAGCTGCTCACCCGTGGAATCCGAGCAAAATGACCGGCTGTTGTATGACACGCATTTGAGAGTAACTTACTTTATAGCCACTGGACTAAAATGGACTAGCTGGAGACATGGTGCCCTGTTTTAGGGACAGTGAATACGGCCATCGGGATGTGTTCACTGATGTCATCCTGCTAATCATGTCACAGTTTATATATGTATCACAGCATCCCGCTGCATACCTTAAACTTACCTATTGTTCTATGTCAACTATATCTCAATAAAGCAAGCAAGGTATTTTTAGGTAAGTAAAACCATCATTTCTGGATGGAAGAAGGGTTGTCCTATGGCCGGAGTCGTTATCAACCACGTGGCCCATCGCAGGTCTCCGGGGAACCCCTAGTGTCACAAAGGAGAGTTCTACATCCTTCATAGGTAGACACACTTGCTATGATCTTAGGAGATCGGAAGGCCCTTATCTAAACACAGGGCTGACTTGCTAACATACTACTACTTTTTGAACTTTTGCGCCCAAATTTGATTACTTGCTCATTAAAATTTATTCTAAAGATGGAAAGTTTTCATTGCCTAGGAAAGTGCAGTAAGAACACGCACTCAAAATTTTTTGGAAATCATTTTGACAGTTTTATTTGATTTGTGTGTTGTTTTTTGCTATTGAGAAATAGAAAAATGATATGTCAGTACAAAATAAAATGTTCACAACATGTACCAATTTATTTGTTAAGAAGTACCAACTTTGTTAATATTGAGTAAAAATATCGGGGCTGTAAACAGCAGATGCCCGGATTTCTATGTGCAGACACACAGCAGCAGGTAGCAGCACTTGAGTTCAATTCTTAGCACCACTGATGAAGAATGTGAAATGTATTTTGCATATTGGATTACACAACATTCTTTTCTAAACCGATTTAAAGGTGTGATCTCTGCAACTCATTTCAAAGTGATAGTCACAAAATATCCAAAGTTCTCTTTGTCCATCATCTTCAATGCTAGAGATTTCACGAAAGATCACAATTGATATCAAAAAGGAAGAATTTGAGTTTCATCTGTTTTTTCTTCTGTGTATTTGCTTCTGCAATGTGTTCCTCACATACCCCCAACCCCACAAGGAGTATGGGGAGCAGAAAAAAGAGGCTGAAAATAGAAAATCTAAGAGGAAAACATCTTGGAACACGGACAAAGCAGATAATTAGCCTCCCAGTAATTAAGGTTTTGACTATTCCCAACACAAAATATATTCCACATAAAAGACTTGCAGTAACTTATGCATAGGAATAATTTTGTCTGTTTGATAACATTTTCTTGATTAAGAATTTTACCCCAGAATTTTGTTATATATTATTTGCTCCTACAGTTTCAATAAAATACCAAGATCACCATTCCTTTAAGACTGTTATTCAATACTTCACTATTGTACAGCGAATAAATATAAATATTTCTGTTGCCTCCATAATGACTTTAAAACTTACTGCCTCTCAAATATTCCCAATCACTTTTCAAATTTTTGCATTTTGAATCTTGTGGGAGAAATTGGGTTACAGCATTTGAACAGAAGAAAACCACTTGCAGAACGCCTGAGCCATTTCCGAACACAAGGTTTAATTTTAGTTCCTACACGTTTGCCAGATGTGCTTTTCCAGATTATTCTTTTTGCACTGTGCATACAGCCCCTTGGGAAAAGTCCTAACTGCGGCACCGTGCGACCTCCCCGAGAAAACCCGTGCACAGAGCAGGGCTGGTCGGAGTCTGAGACTGCGCCCTGGTGGAAGGGCACCCACACGGCCCCGCGTCACCCGCTCTTCCAGTGTCCCCATCTCAGGATGTGGCTGAGGGGCACAGAGTGCCTTTCTAGGACAGCCCCCACCTTCTCACCACCTTGGCTAACAGCGGGGAGCCCAGAGAACTGACAAGCCCAAGAACTGAGGACTTCTCCCTGAACACCTGCTCCCAGTGTCGTAGGCGTGGCTGGAATGTCTCACGGGATCATTTGAAAACATTTAACCGAGCAACCTACACATGCTCACGAGACCCGGCATGTCTGGAATACGTGTCTATTTGGGGACGGGCGTCCTTTTGGGATTCTCAGATGGCAATTTCCCTCTCAGTGAACCCGATTACCACACTATGACCCCCCGTAAAACTCCAGGTTATCAAAGATGATCCCGTTGCAACACTGGAAAAGCCAGCAAGCTCCACGCACACGGACGAGCGAGAGGCGGATGTCCGAGCCAGGGAGCGAGGGATGGACGGCGCGTTCACAGAGAGCGGCAGCCCTGTGACACACGATCGAGCCGGAGCTCTCGGTCCTTGGCGCGCTGCTTGGACAAGCAACACTGCCGCTGGCTCTTCAGAAGAAAAGAAAAAGAAAACAAAACCAAATTCATGTCTGTTATGGACATTAAATGGGAACATCCATGTCAAAAAGCACCACACCGAACCTCTAGTATAAAAACCTACACACACTTTGCTTCACGCACGATGGCAACAAGAACACCCTAAGATCTTGAGCTACCAGGGGTCCCCTGACTGATGTCCTTTCCCAAAATTCAGAGGCCATCTTCCTAGACTAGCCTGTTAGTGTTTAACTCAAGAGATTGATTTTTAAAAAAAAAAAAATTTGGTACGTGCCGCTAACGGGAACTGAACCTGGAACTCTCTGGTCCGCAGGCCAACACTCCAACCAGTGAGCCAAACCGGCCAGGGCTGATTTTGGTTTTCAAACAAAGAGTGCCATGAGTAACTACATTTAACCCTTGCCCAAACTGAGTATCTGCCACATAACTCGACAGAAGTTGTCCTTGACTATGGGCCCAAAGGCTCCATTCTGACCGGCTCAAATGCCTACAAATGGCAGTAGACGGGGGACACCGAGTATCCGCCGTTACACCAGGGAAAGGCTGGTGTCCCATGAGCGGCTTTCCACCGTAAAGTCCTACAACATAAAAAAAAAAAAACTTTCTAGGGGGCGTTTGCTAGGCCTGCTGGGACCCCAACGGCATCTTCCCCCCAATTCAGCAAGATTAGCTTCTGTGTGTGTACAATCTCCCTTTATACGCCACAAAGCCCAGCTCTAACTCCCACGATCTCACTATGTCACCTGTACCACCGGACCGCCTTGTGCACCGTCTGTAATAAAATGAGGCGGTACCCTCCACTTCCCATGTACTTGTGTTTTCATGCCGCCTCTATAAAACTGTGACTGTGGACCCTGGTCTTTGATCATCTGCTGGCCGACGAAGAGCTGAGCATAGAGGCCCAGCCTGGGCCCACCCAACGGGACTTCCTGCTCCGGCTCCTGCGTGAACTGTGGGCCTCGGATGGGAGCATCGGCAGCACGTGAGAGCTTCCTGGAGGCACAATCCCAGCCCAGACCCACGGAGACAGTCTACACTCCGCCAAGTCACCGCCTGGTTGCGGGGCTGAGGAGGAGCGGCCAGTACCTGCTCCAGTTTCCTATCAGGGCTTCCCTCCCGATTTCTGTGATGACAGAGACGCCGGTGTCCCTTCGAACCTCATGGACATTAGCGCATCATCTAGAAACGCATTCAGATGGTTTCAACTACTGGTGTCAACATCTGTGTGTGTGTGTGTGTGTGTGTGTGTGTGTGTGTGTGTTCCTCAAGCCACGAAAAATACAGAAGACAAGCTTAATTCTTTAAATAAAAGTAAATATCCCAAGAATGAAATTGAAAGAAAATAAATGATCTGAAGATGCATTATTGATAGTTGAGGAGCCCAAAATCTCTGGTCGTAAGATTTCTTGACTAAATTCTGCTCTTACTCCCACAATTAAACATTTTTAGAGCAATCTGAAGAGTTCTGAATCACATATATAGAAAGACAGACAGAGATGCACATGAATTTGTATATAATTAAAATAAACGCTATCCTACAAGATTAAAGGAGGTTAACAGTGAGGGATACCAGCCAGAATGATTTTTTACTTAGGCTATTTGCATTTCTGAAGTTACACTCTGTAATCAGGGGGGGAAAAACACTTTAACTAAATAAAATAATACTTTATCTTTTGAAACATACATTTGGTAATTGATTTATCTTTATTAATGTCCATAGAATAATACCTAAAATCTGAGAAAGCTCATGTAGCCTTTTATTTGGTTAAAGGTTAAAATATAGAATTCATAAAGAGATAAACTCCGGTTTTATTCATCTAAAATTGAATAAGGATATCTTCAGCATTAAAACAAATGTTAAATGAAAAATAAGCTAACATGAATCATTTTTATAATCAACTTATTTATTGAAATCTTATCCAAGTTTTTGCAAAAAGCAATGCAATAATGGCTCAATGCAATAATCCAGTCTATGGACAAAGGCGAAAAGGGCAATAAGAAAAAATAAAGTTTTGATGTAGACTATAAAAAAATCCCAAACTGCAACTTAATGTGAGCTGGAATAGCTGGTTACTGTGTCTTAAAATTTAAACGTAAACCAAAAAAATAAGAAAACTTGTGAATATTGTAAACATTAAGCATCCCTTTGATTTTGATACAATAATAAAAGAAAATAGCCAAAAAAATCAATCAATCAATCAAAGCCTTCAGTTTGTCATTCATAGGCATCAACTATCTAAACTCAGGTCTACCATCCAAGCTCAGAAGTAAATGATGAAATGTGCTTTTTTGATAGCTAAGAAGTAGCTAACACTGTGGAGAAATCACTTCTGTTATGCCACCGATAGGAACCGTCAGGGTACATCTAGCAGTGTAACCAGCTGCCTGCTCTGTCCAGGCCTCTCGGCTCTGTGTTCTCGGAAACTTCCAGGTGGGCTTGTGACTGCTGCTCCCCAGAGAACTGGACGTGATGCGTGAAGGTCCCGAAGTGTCCTTTCTCGCGCGTTGCTGTTGAGAGCTCACTGCCATGGTGAGAGGAGGGAACACATATTCAAATGGTTCAAGAAGAGAAGACAGATTATTCCAAACTTCCAGCTACCAAAAACAAGCTGTTCTATCTTGAGCTCTGGGAAGGCTTTTAACACCAGATG